AAATGACCTATGAAGTTGATATAGCTGTAACTTTTATACTTTTTGACGAAATGCTTCAATACTTATAATATGGAGAGATATTAATGGTGTAGACAAGATAGTTTGGTCATCATGCACATGCATGCACGTGCGCGCGCGTGCAATGCTTAAATGAACAATATACTTGATATAGCCGTAACTTATATATTTTTTGAAGAAATGTTTCGATACTCAGAATTAAGATGCATTTATAGTATAGACGAGATGACATGGCCATCCTGCACACGCATGCACGTGCACGCGCGTGTAATGCGTAAAAAACCAATATACTTGATTGCCTTATTCAATGAAGCTTACAGGGAATAAGACACGAAAAGGGAGTTAGGGAGCGTTTGGGGAACATCTGTAACGGTCCGCGTTACAAATAATAACTAGTTATTATTATTATTATTCTTTTTTTCTACTTTCTTCTCCGGTACTTTTTTGTCCGGGAGTGTTCTCATAGAACCACTCATCCGATTGACATGAAACCTTTTTAGGGTTAATAGGCATGTTGTGTAGGTGTTCGGAACGAAGGTCATTTTGCGCGCACATGCATGCACGTGCGCGCGCGTGCAATGAGTGAAATGACTGATATACTTGATGAACCCGTAACTTTTATATTTCTTGATGAATTGCTTTGAAACTCAAGATATAAAGATATATTAGTAGTCTAGACAAGATAACGTGGTCAAATTAGCGTGAACTCACGCGCATGCACGTGCGCTCTTCTCTGATTGGCTGATACAAAAATCTCAATAATTTCCTTGTTTTTTGACAAAATACTTTGAAATTTAGAATATAAATATATATTATAAGGTGCTACAACATGTTATATAGGGAAATTCTTGAAAACACGCGCATGCAGGTGTCCTGCAATCTGATTTGTTGAAACTTTAAATGTCTATAACTCCCTTGGTTTTCAACAAAACAGGATGAAATTTACGACATGGATAGGCACATAGAGTTCCTACATTATGATACTATCAAAATTGAATGCAAGGCCATGCATGCGCGTATGCTGAATTCTGATTGGCCAATACTTAAAGGGTTAGATCTCTCTTATTTTTTAATGAGATTCTGTAATATTTAATACAAATGTATGTATTGTGAGACACTATAAGAAAATTAATGTGAAAAATGTAGAAAACATGTGCAAGTACATGCGCTGAAATTTGATTGGCTAATACCCATATCGCTATATCGGAGTAGTTTTCCAATGAAATACCCTTAAAAATAAAGTGTCTATCTACATGTATATTACAAAAGTATTGTCTAATTTATTGAAGCTTGTGGGGAATGGGGCATCATAAGGGATTGGGGAGCCGTTTGGGGAACATCTGTTACGGTTCCCGTTACAATTAGCACTAGTTATTATTATTATTATTCTTTTTTTCTACTTTCTTCTCCGGTACTTTTTTGCCCGGGAGTGTTCTCATAGAACCACTCATCCGATTGACATGAAACCTTTTTAGGGTTAATAGGCATGTTGTGTAGGTGTTCGGAACGAAGGTCATTTTGCGCGCACATGCATGCACGTGCGCACGCGTGCAATGAGTGAAATGACTGATATACTTGATGAACCCGTAACTTTTATATTTCTTGATGAATTGCTTTGAAACTAAACATATAAAGATATATTAGTAGTCTAGACAAGATAACATGGTCAAATTAGCGTGAACTCACGCGCATGCACGTGCGCTCTTCTCTGATTGGCTGATACAAAAATCTCAATAATTTCCTTGTTTTTTGACAAAATACTTTGAAATTTAGAATATAAGTATATATTATAAGGTGCTTCAACATGTTATATAGGAAATTTCTTGAAAACACGCGAATGCAGGTGTGCTGCAATCTGATTGGTTGAAACTTTAAATGTCTATAACTCCCTTGGTTTTCAACAAAACAGGATAGGCACATAGAGCTCCTACATTATGAAACTATCGAAATTGAATGCAAGGCCATGAATGCGCGTATGCTGAATTCTGATTGGCTAATACTTAAAGGGTTACATCTCTCTTATTTTTCAATGAAATTCTTTACTATTTAACACAAATGTATGTATTGTGAGACACTATAAGAAAATTAATGTGAAAAATGTAGAAAACATTGTGCAAGCACATGCGCTGAAATTTGATTGGCTAATAACCATATGGCTATATCGGAGTAGTTTTCCAATGAAATACCCTTAAAAATAAAGTGTCCATCTATATTACAAAAGTATTGTCTAATTTATTGAAGCTTGTAGGGAATGGGGCAAAATAAGGGATTGGGGAGCCGTTTGGGGAACATCTGTAACGGTCCCCGTTACAATTAGCACTAGTTTTATAATATTGTTGTTAAACAATTCACCTTTATGCATTTTTTCAAGGATAATTTTTACGGTTATATGCTTGTATTTAAATAATCGGTTATATATTATACGATTTAAAATTTCCCATTATGAAGACAGTAGTTTAGAACAATCAGAAATCAGACTGAAAGTCGGATATGTATAGGGGAAAGCCTTTGAAAAGGCCGCTGTCAAACTTCAATATGCTACCCAGCTAGCACTAAATAAACGGAGAAAGGTGTTTTCTTGAGAAGCAGTTTCTGCATCTACAGAGAATGATACTATTTCATCCAGTACTTCAACCAAAACCATTCCTTCAAGTTTGCCTACTCTCTCCAGCAATGCAACTTATACCAGTCTTGAGCCACCTATTACGTCAATACAGCAGGCAATGTAATTGTCAATATATATATGGTAGCTAGGGGCAACTGCTTTGGAATCAGTCCAATAAAAAATAATGTTTAGGTGGGTACATTGATTTAGGTCAGCTATTACATATATATAGAATCTGGACAGTAATCCAAAAAGATGGATGCATTTTCCCAACAATCAAATCGAATATGAATTACTATACCTATATTGGACCCCTTAACTTCGTATAAATACCTACAAAGATAAATAGCTGGTTATAGTTAATGTTCTTCAAAGTTTATTTCTCACGAAAATGTTCACAGCAATAAAGGAGAAACGTCAAGAGAACTGTACAAAAACATATTCGAGAAGTAGTGTTAATGGAATGTGGATACTTAAAATCGCCATGGAACTTTTAGAACATTTGAAATTACACAATTTTACTAAACCCAATAGCATCAAATCGTTCGTTCTTGCTATCTTGTCATTGATCATTCGCAAACTTTGTTAAAAAATAATCTGATTCTAAACAGAAGTAAACCGAGTATGATATTAAAAAGATGCATTAGTTTCCGATTGAGAATCTCTGTGTATTTTTCGCGATCGGATACCAGATCTTCCAACAATCTATTAAAATTTCCATAGGTCAAATTGTTCTCCGTTATTGTCAAACCTGTTCTTGTATTCATATGAACAAAATTTATTCAGAAACTTCTGCTTGAAAAGAAAAGTTTCTTGCTGTTGTTGTGGCCTTTAGTTCGACAATAAGATATATCGACGACATTTTATCTATTATGTATATTAAGCTTCTTCCCTATGTTGATTCTTTCTAACTCGAAGTAAAAAAGTTGGTTATTATGCCCCCTTTCGAAGAAGGGAGGGCATATTGCTTTGCTGCTGTCTGTCGATCCTTCCGTCTGTCTGTCTGTCGGTCCAACAACAGTGTCCGTTCATTTTCTTCGCAGAGGTTGCACATACTGAATTGAAATTTGGTATACAGATTTATCATGAGAATATCTAGAACAAGTGTTGTTTTGGGTACGATCGAGCAATTTCTGACAGAGTTATGGCCCTTGGACTTAGAAAAATTCTAATTATTTCCGTTCATTTTCTTCGCAGAGGTTGCACACTGAAATGAAATTTGCTAAACAGATTTATCATAAAAAATATCTAAGTCAAGTTCTGTTTTGGGTACGATCGAGCAATTTTTGACAGAGTTATGGTCTTTAGACTTATAAAAATTCCAATTATTGGGAGGGGGGGGGGATAAGTATTTTACAAACATCTCTTGTTTTACTTGAGAAAGATATTGAAGGCAAACTGCCACTCAAACTTAATGATAAGTGTGTTGTCTCAACTTTTCTATCGTCGACGTTTCTCATTTATGCAGCTACATTTATTTATCTTTATAAACTGTATATAGCGTTTACGTCCATGTACTACAAAGGAACAGTTTCTAAAAGGAGGCAAGCTATTGACAAATACATTTATTCCACAAGGATATCAGCAGTTTGGCTGAAAGTCAGCATCTCGCAATTCTATAGTTGATACAATCATCGTGTTTGCAAATACAATCTATTGTTAGGTCGAATGTTGACAAACGTCTTTCACACAAATTGTGAGGCTATTATTTTCACACAATATTTGCCTTTTAACTGATCAAGACAAAGGGATTCTTATATTTCCAATTTACATGATCCCTAATCTGTTTGCAAAGATCTGTGTATCCCTGCTCACAGTTTTTATTATATACCCAACTGTTTGTCACTCAGTTTTACTGTTGAATTTACGCAATCACGAGACGATGTGATCCGACGTTCCGGATCACCACACTGTGGTTTTCTGAATCCATATCACCCCTCTCTGAAACTGATGACGTAGTACACAGATAAATGATGTTTTTATTCTCGCGCATCAAAAAGTTCCTTGACAAACGGTTTGTTTAATGGATAAAAGTTATGTAATTGATCCAAAAAGTTTTTTCTTTTATCATATTTTGCTAGTTGTTAAGGGGTATATAATAAATTTATCATTATAACAGTAACTTGGTCCGAAGAGCCGTATCACGTCAAGTTGACAGGCGCGGATCATCGCGCCTGTCAACTTGACGTGATACGGCTCTTCGGATCAAGTTACTGTTATAATAATATATATTTATGTATTGTTTAATTGGACTTTTGAACATGATTACTGCTCATTATCTATATATTTCCTCTACAAGAATTCGATAAGAAAATTGCACTCATTTTATTTTGTGTCTTACACTTGAAGAACGTATATCTTATCTCTGCGTATGGAAATGTCTACCGACAGGATTCTTGTTCTTATCCTGTGTGTGAAGTTAATATTCACCTATGTAGAAGCAGCTACCGAATCCAATGATATTGATAATGTGAATTCTATTCGTTTTCTACGAGAACAACTAGAAGAACTTAAATCGGTCGTAAATGATTTAAAAAGGTCCAATAAACAATATGCTTCTGATATTAAGGAACTGAAGAAAGCCAAATATAAATGTGCAGCAAAAATTGACATTCTGGACAACATCATAAAACGAGGAAACAATGAGTTTTCGCAGACAGAGACAGAAAATATGCCTGGTAAAACAGCCGTTATTCCTGACGCAGCAGATAAAGAAAAATGGTATCCAAACCTCAATGGCTCCACGTCTAAAGACCAGTATACTGCTGCGTATAGAAACTTTCAAGAGACAGCTAATTTGGAGAGACGATCAGTATCAGGTACTCTAAATTTATTTTTTGTTTAATCAGTTTGCAGAAAAATGAAATACATTTATCTTGTGCAAAATGTTTTATGCCGCAATCGTAATGTATAAGAAATTTATTTGTGCGCAGGAATAGGAGGCAAATGCGGTTGAAAAAAGGAGTGTTTTATTTAAATGATGCACCCAGATGTGTGCTGTTTCCAGTTAAATGAAGTAATAATCAGGCAAAATCACCAACTTTGAAAAAAAAAAATGAATAGAATTTGGGATGTTTTTTTTTATTGAGAAATTTTTCTGTGTTGTTTGATTTTTATAGAAAAAAAATTGAGTATGCTAACTTTTGATACTTGAGTAGCTCATAGAATTTATAAAATGTTTAAGACTGAAATTCCAAAGCGTTCTTCTTGCACCATGCAACTTTTTTCCACTGGAGATCATAAACTCATGCATATCTGTAGCCATAAAGAATGTTAACAAATTCAGCTGATATTTTTCAACAAGTAGAGCTTACATAAAATCAAGAAATCAAGGGATGTCAAGAGGGTTTGAAAGAAAACAAAAACTAACTCTTCAGCTAGTAGCCTTAGCCACTGTTAAATCTGATCTTAAGTTTCAATTATAGATTCGATTTATACTGAGAATTAAAAACATAAACATTTAGAAAAATGATACATTTTAATTAACACAAACTAATTAACATATAGCATAGAATAGCGTAGAATTTTTACATTTCTTTTATTGATAATATTACAGAAATATTTTATCAAATGGACGAGGAACCCTTCTTCATGTATCGTATTTATTCGTTAAAAGAAAAAAAGACAATGATTCTGGTTAACTCGCTTCTAATATAGAAGTTCTGATTGTTCAAAATGCTTTTTGACGACTTATGGTGATTTCAAATAGATTTAAAATATTCTAGACCAAAAAATTAAATCAAATTAATAGTATATATGAGATCTGAGAACTACAAATTATTAAATGAACGCTCTTTTGCAGAAAATCTTGCATTTCAAGAGGTAAATGCATTTTACGCCTACATGAGTGCTTCTGAGAACCATCCCGGACATCACCAAACGATAATTTTTGACGTTGCAATCACAAACGCTGGTCATGCCTATAGCAAGAACAGTGGAATTTTTACTGTACCAACCACAGGCATCTATGTTTTTACTTGGAACATTGCTTCAGCAATTCACGACTACAGCTATACTGAACTAGTTGTAAACGCTACTCCAAGAGGTTTCATTCACACCTGCTCTCTTAACGACGCTTGTGGAAGGGTGACAACGGGAATAGTGGTAGTGGCAGTGAACCAAAGGGACGAAGTTTTCGTGCGAACCAATTCCGTATTTCCCATTGTCGGAGGAATACATAGCGATGGTGATATCCGCAGTTCATTTGCTGGTTGGCAAATTGCTTGATAGCCTGCATTTGAATTAAAGAGCAAACAAAAGAAAGACATTTTTAGAATTACTTTTGTTTGAATCGTGATGTTCTTATTTAAGAAATTTAGATCTTTCAAGAAGCCTTTTTTCCTTCAAGATTAAATAAATACGTTAAAAATATTTTAAAGTTATTTTTAACAATAGCAATCAAGGACTTTTGTGTGATGAAAATCAAAATCATGTATTTTCTTATAAAGTTATGAATTATTATAACCTTTATTCCTTAGGCTAAACCAAATTTGTCGACTTTCTGATGATGACGATAGAAACAAGAGGCCCAAGGGCTTAGAATCGCTTTCCTGAAAATTGTACAACCTATAATCTCATTTGTTTTAAGCCTCTTGGTAACCTATACATAAGGATAAAGCCTTGAATTTCCAAAAGTAGTTCAGTATGGCAACAACAGACAAAGTTTGATAATTCCAAGCCAATTTATACCTGAAATATTTAAATTTAGCCAAGAAGTAGGTTAGAGTGACTTACGTTTTGGTTGATACACTCCGATGACTCAAAGATGCATCAACTAACAAAATTTGATGATTCTAATCCAATAAGTATCTGAAATAGCCATCAAATTCCTAAAGTGGGTCACGATGACCTACTTTTCGTTTGACACACTCCGGGTACCCAAGATGCATCAACTGACAGAGATTGATAATTCCAAGCCAATTAGTATCTGAAATATTCAAATTAAGCCATGAAATTGTAAAAAGAGGTCACGGTTACTTACTTTTTTGTCAATACACTCCGAGGACTCACGATGCATCAACTGACAAAGTTTGGTGATTCTAAGCCATTTAGTATCTGAAATATTTAAATTAAGCCATGAAATTGCAAAAGTAGGTCACAGTGTCCTACTTTTTGGTTGACCCACTCAAGGACTCAAGATGCATCAACTGACAAAGTTTGATGATCCAATGCTTCAAAGTGTCCGATATATGCCTCTAAACCAATTTGAAAATGAATACCTGTAAAATTCCAAAAGTAGGTCACTGTGACCTATTTTCAGTAAGTCTGTTTTAAGTCCCCTAGGTGCATCAACTTACAAGGTTTGATGATTCTAAACCTCTTAGTATCTGAAATAATGACCTTTAATTTTTAGAAAATGATTACCATAAAATTCAGAAAGTAGGTCAAGGTGACCTACTTTTTGGTTGACACATTTTAAGGTCCCATGATGCATAAACTGACAAGTTTTGATGATCATAGGCTTCAAAGTTATGCATCAAAATGAAAATGAATACATGCAAAATTGAAAAAGTAGGTCATCATGACCTACTTTTGAGTCAACGTGATATGAGGTCCGAAGATATAACAACTGACAAGATTTGATGATCCTAGGTCTTATAGTGGGCAAAATATCAAAGATTAAACAAAACATAAATTTTGGTCAACTTTGAAGTGATCTTGATACCACGGTCTTTGCCCCAGGGTGCTCCTTGTACAATTTTCAATCTACAACATATCTTCATCCTTGTATGTAAGTTTGGTGATAATCTGCCCAGTGGTTCTTGAGAAGAAGATTTTTTAGCAACCAGTATTTTTGTTTTTATTTTCCTAATTATCTCCCCTTGTTTAAAGGTCCCATCCCTATTTTGGGTACAAATGAGAGCCCTTTGGCAAAGAATACTCTGTGACACATTTGACAAAAATTGGTCAAGGGGTTCTTGAGTTATGGCTCATTTTCCAAAATGTTGACGCACACCGCATACAAACTTGGACCCAATTTTGTCGCATTTCTCGTACCCCTAAGAGTCATATTTTAAGAAGTGTTCATACATACATTAACCGTATCCAAGCATACTCGCTGATTGAGAAGAATGAAAATAACAATAGTAATGATATCTCAGATCCCAAAGTGACCTTATCACCAAAAGTTATCCAACCAGATTCAAATAAATATACTGAAAGAAAAAAGAAACGCAGGGTAAACGTTTGAGGTGATATAATCTTATTTTTTCTTATGTATTTTCGAGTAATCCTATCTAACATTTAAAATCATCTTTCATGAAAATGTAACTAAAATCTCTTTTGATTTTGCCTTATAATTCATAAGTTATTGAAACTCATATGACGATACCCCCTAAAAGTGAAAATCGAAAATTCTCATTATCTTCCATGTCTCATTCGTGCATCTGTCAAAACCTTGATTCGTCTTTGAATGGAGTTCATCAGTGTGTGTATCTTTCAAACAAGGATATTTTTCCCTTTCCATAAGCCAGCCCTTAGTTGAAAGAGACCAGCTTGGGCATTTCGAACCCTATCATCCACTTAGTCCCAAAGATGTTCAATGAGAAAAAGTTGGACTTTAAGGAGACAAGTCGAGTAGGTAAATGTGATTGTTTGCGAGAAAGTCTTGACAAACCCTGGTTACATTAGGCGCGGGGTAAACACGCTGAAACAGTGAGGCAAACGACGCGTGCATGTGCCACTGAGAGGAACACCAACGTAAAGTTGACGAGCTCAAAAAAGAAAATCACGCAATCGGTTTCTTTCAGCTTTAGGGTGAATGAAATGATTTCGATAGCCTAATGTATTTAAAGCAGTTTTAGTGATAGTAGGGTTGCAAATAAAGAGGTGGCAAGATGAATAATCCGATCTTGACGTGGGTCTGTTATGCGTCTACGTCATCGTCACGGTTGATTGGAAACCATTCCAGGACCTCTCTGAAGACGGGTAAGACTATCTATGAGGGAAAATTTACAAGATATTTCACAGCAACCCGTTGTTGCTTTTTTCCTTACTTAGGTGTAAAAGCCAGACCCCATGGAACTTTCGTAAATTGTACCATGATTGCAAGAAATTCATATCATCTGTAAATATCGAAAAACAATATGTATACCCCAAGCGCATCAAATGGTACAACAAAATGTGTTAACAAATTTGTCGTCATCAATTTGCACGCGTTTTTGGCTTTTTACCATTTTCCCTACGTGACATCATACATTTCACGGTTGAGTAATTCTGAACACTGATTTAAGGTACTCCAGTCCTCAGGTTCTGAAAATCAGCTTTTAAGTAATTGAAAATGCTTACAAAAATGTCTCTGATTTAACATAGTAACGTGAATTTACCCATGGAATTTCTTCAAAGTTCATTATTATAGTTAATCATATTATATAGGGAAAATTATCAAATCTCAAACATATTTTCAGGAAATGCGAATAAAAACACCAGATATGCATTTTCTAATTGAAAATTAATCAACAAATATAATTTAGGACAAAAAGATATAGGTATCCAGGCATTTGGAGAAAATTGCATCTTTTTATGCTTATACGGTATTTTAGTTCTTCTTTTTACTTTAATTGTCATATAATACATAGTGTAAAAAGTTTGTGCTATCATTGCTAGGCATCACATATCACATCTAATTTCATATCATGCTAATAAGCTGTGGTATCTAATGCTAGACTACAGGGAATTCGATTTCTCTGAAAATGAATTCCTTTTTCTTGTTTTATGGGGTACAAATTTCAACGTTTTACAAGACTGTTTCTAAGACTTCACAGAACCTTGAATCATATTAAGATGCATAAAATAAAAATTGTTGCACGAAAAGATCTCAATTTCAAGCTTCATTTTGACACTTTTTAAATAAAGTAGTAAATTTAAGAGTTATCCTTCCCAACTAAGGATCGGATATCCTTAAGTGCACAGTAACCAAGTTTCTCATCTGGCAAGTTTTCGTAATTTTCGGTTATGCGGTCAAAAAGATCTCGCATATTATGTTACCCAGCTTTTCTTTTTCCTTTCAGTATATTTTTCATACCTCAAGTTTGCAAAAATATTGCCCAAGCGTGCACATTTTTTTTCCAAAGTGCGTTAATTTTGTCCCAAATTTAGCGCACTTTGAAAAATTTTAAAACGCGTAATTAATAACAGATACCTCAATCAGTGGCGGATCCATAAGGGGTCAGGTGAATTGCACCTACTTTTGATTTTTCTTTCAAGAGGAATAGATTGTAAAATACATATTTTCATCAAAAATAATGCAACAGTACTGCGTAGGAACAATGTAAACCTGTTTTTCAAAAATAAAACCTACATAAATATTTGGTTGCAAGTTAATTCAAGAGCATGCTGTCATGAACCTTTACAAACTGGTTTCTTTATAATTTTTTACAAAAAAGGTCTTATATTTCCAATGTTTTACTGAGTGGTCATGACAAATCACTTATTTTCATGTGGTCCAATTTTCGTTGTTTGTCAAAATTATATTGGTTCGTGGGGATTAGATTTAATTCGTTTTTAGAGAATTGTTGAGTTATTATATATTTGAAATTTAACATCTCATTGAGGACATAAATTCCTGTGTCTCCATACCTCGAAAACTCGAGGATTAATGAAACATGAAAATTAGTGATTTCACAGTATGGTCTTTGTTCGTGTACATGTTAGTGCTTTCTGTATACAAATGTGATGGAATTGCTCACAAGTATGAACAATGAACAATGCATTATTGGACCTTCAAAATAATACAAAAGATCTGAAGTAAATGGCACTGTTCAAAGTAACAAGCGCACAACGAAGCGTACACTAGGCAAAATTGCTAACGCACCACTTATTATTCTTATTTGTGAATTGATCATTTTCCTGATTGGTACCTAAAATTTTCAACAATTTTTCACCAGAGAAATGCATAATCTTTGAATTGTTTTAATTTTTTTTTTTTACAAAATTCTTCTAAGGAACCCCTGCAGATTTCATACTGGCTGCCTTAGCAGGCTCTTCAAGAGTCAAACGCCGCATACGGTGTAACTTTTTTCTGAGTTTTTAATCAGTAGAAACATAAAGAACACAGCCACAAAGAAAAAATTAGAAATTTATTCCACCAAAAAGTATGGATATGATTTTAATTTTTTCTATGAAGTGGTTACAGTTCAGTAAATATTGCTGTTATTTATCAGTTAAAACATTTAAATGTCTCATTTTTTATTAAAGTAACATAATTTTATATCAAAAACATCATAAACAAGTTTTGAAAAGAAAACTGTTAATTTATTTAGGTGGTGCGTTAGCAATTTTGTCTATTGTATGCCGAAAAATCCAAAGTCTCGAGTTTTCCATCAACCAATGCCACGGTTCAAATCAAATGAAAAACAAAGTCCTTCATGCCGAAAGCGAATTCCTAATAAATGAAAGTGAGATTCCAAAGCCTAACGGAGTTCGTGAAGACAAATAGAAGAAAGAGAGGAAGGTACACTTAAATGAAAAACTAAAGATGAAATGAGGAACAGGTTGCTGTCCTTTAAAAAGGGACTGCAATACGTGGACCATATGCATGTGTTTCTACAGGAAATTCAAAGAAAATTTCTAGATTTAGTGATTTTAAAAAGGTGTAATTAAATTCAATTTTTTTTTGTACATGTATCTTGTAATTTTCATCGTTATTTAAGTCTGCTTAATTAGGCTGTAATGATAAAAAACCATGACCTTGAAATTTTGTGAGTATGAAATGTTCAATCTAATAAAAATTAGATGTTCCGAATTCGCTACCGCTTCTCAAAAGAAGCGGTAGCGGATTGGGAACGTATAATTTAAATTAGATTGTGAAATGTTGATCTAGGTATCTATCACAATTGTAAACACTGGTAAAGTAGCCTTTAAAATTAACTACAGAATTAAATGAGGCCTAAGCGTGCAGGTGTCGTAATGGTTGAATTGTAACTCCGTTGGCGGATCCAGGAAGGGGGGGGGGGTGTCGGATGTTGTAACCCCATTCATTTTTGCAGAAAGAGGAAGAGAGAGTGTGAGTTTTTTCTGTAATATAGATATTTTTACGTCTAGTATTTTCAATAAAATAAGTACTTCAATCTTTGCCCTTTCTGCTCTCTAGATAGAGTTTTGCTTCTTGCTTTTCTCCTTATACTTTCACAACCCCGGCCCCGGGCCTCGACCACCCACACTCTTCGATATCATTGGAAGATTCCAGCGAACGTAAACAGCTATTTTTGGACCATCTTCTGAAGTAACTAACTTTAAGAAGTATGCATAAAAAGTCATGAAAGTGAGTGTGCATAAGAGAATATTTATCTCCTTATATTGTGAGGATATTTTAATCAATAAAGAGAAAGGTTCAAAATGTCCCCGTAGTATGTTGGGGAGGGGGCTCACTTTTTCTTAAAAAAATAATCTTTTGTTATAATTTGAATTGTTAAGTTTTGATTTGCATTGGAAGCTCCCCCGCACTTTTTGTTGCGGGAAGGTTCAAATTACGGACAATCAAACATTTAAAAGAAATCAAAGTGTACCAAAAAGTTAAGACGAAGTCCCTCCCCCAGAAATAGGATTCTAGGATTCAGGTTGTTATTTTAATTAATTTATTTATTGTTGCTAGTCAAATCTTTTTGGAGGTTGCCCCCTTTGAAAACTGTTGCTACGGACTTGAATATAAATGCCTGCAGTGTGACCTAGAGCCCCCCCCCCCTTTTCAAAAAGTAAAAAAAAAAACTACTGAATCCGACGCTGTACTGGAGCACTAGAGGGTCTCGGCACTAGAGGGTCTCGAGTTATCTAAAACGATGCTAGGTTATCGATTAACTCGATCAATTTAAAAACACAAAAAAATTAATTTTGTGCGTTCTTTTCTCTGCCTCTTTTAAATAACGGAATGGGTTATATACAACACCTGCAATCATAACTTCTCGACAAAACAACGTGTTTTTTCGAGCTATCCAGAAGGTCTGAGAAGATGCTATTGACAATCTCATGGCACGTGTGTAGATCTAGGCTATTTGGTCTTGCAAGGACAGGTGTGTGCACTGTTTGCTAGTGATGCTTAGACTGGTGACGGTATTTGCTACGGACATGAAGAACTATACACCGGTTTCATAACATGTGCATTTTTTTTTTCTAGTGAAAATTGGAGTAAATTAAAAGTCGAACATCTTGGATATGGGGTAACCCATATAATATCATATTACAACGACCGTCAATGCATCCATGGACGAGTTCATTGGTTACTCTGAAAGGTGGCACAGATCAACCTTTCGTTAACATTTTCTACAATGAACTGCCTACTTTGAGTGATTGTACTTTCATAGCAAAGTTGTTAAATTCTATTCCCGATTGGCCTATAGTTTTGTCATTTAAAAACATCGGGCTATTTCGATAAATGTAACCCATAACGGCTGGGACTTGATATCTGTACTAGATTTATACGGAAGATATCCTATCATTGGAAAGATAGATGGTACACTTGTAGCACAAATCTGTAGTACACAGAATTTTTTTTTGGTGTTTCTCTCTTTCCCCCACATGGACAAACGTTGCTACAGGCCTCTATCAAGCTATATTTGGATTGCTGTCAATAAAATTATTTTGCGAACCTTGATGCACAAAACTAATGCCGGTAAATCTTTTAAAACCTAGTAGTTGAATTAAGTTTTTAATTCAACATGTTCAAGCTGTTAAGCTATCTACATAAGTTCTTCCTACTTATTTAAAATGATTGTACCATAGAATTTAGTTTGTATATTAGGATACATGTATTAAAGAGAAATTCATATCTTGGTTACGCCAATAAATAAATACGATGTGCAGATTTTAGAGCGAGGTTTGCCATTGATTGGCATATTCTAATTCGAAGAGGGCGAATTGTTCCAAGGGCAAGTTGTCTTAGAGGCGAACTCTCTTGCATCCTCGCGCATGCGTAGCCTGACGTAAGCCCATGGCATCCGGTTTAACGCCACTTATATATTTTCTGCGTGGACCTCAGGGTCCACGCAATGAAGAAAAATGAGGAATTTTAAGAACTTAAAAATTTTTAACATGTACGCAATTTTTCTTTTTCTGTAGTCTGAAAAATGAAATTTTAAACACGTCAGATACTTGTTTCCTCTTGTTAAAAAAATTGGACAGTTTTTCATTTATTATTTTTTTTTTTAAAAATCTTTCATTACTTATGATTTTTTGGCAGGAAACATCTCAGAAAATCCAGCTTTTTATACCAAACTGGCAAATATTTTCCGATCCAGAGTACTTTGATTCCAGGGTGTAATCATCAATGTTGAAAACTTCTACAGTCCTCATACGGGTATTTTCTCAGCTACATATCTGGTATATTTGGACTCTCAGTGACAATCACTATAACAACACATCCTGCTGCATACATTACTATACTTAAAAATAGTGATGAAGTCATCTCCATTGTAGCGACAGAGAGTCATACGAAGTAATTTCGACAATTGTAGTCTTACCATTAAACTGACATAACTCCATATATGCAAGAACCAAAAACTATAATGCTACCAATGTGTAAAATGTGCTTTCACAAACCCTCTTACGTGGATGAGAAACTTAAGATGAAAGCAAAATTGCATACATTGAGTATCAATCCTTGTAGATAAATAAAAATATACATTCTTTATTACAACGGAAAATATTCTTGGATGATTTCATTGGTTGCATATATAGTACCAAACAGTAATAGATAAGATTATGCAGATCATCCCTCTCTTTTATCTGTTTGTAAAAATACATATAATATATTGCTTTGTTTGTTTGTTTGTTGTTTGTTTGTTTGTTTTTTGCTTGTTTGTTTGTTTCTTTTTTTTTTTTGGTTTGTTTTTTTTTTTTTTTGGGGGGGGGGGGGGGTAATCGATTTAGATTTTTTTCATTCGTCGTAACGACAATTATTGGAATGAGTAATCATTCGTTAACAACCCTAATAACATTAAATGTTTGAAAAAACATTAAGAAAATAAAAGAAAATAATTCTTTTTGTTTTTGCTTATGGATTAAAAAAATGTTCTATTTTTGTGTTTCAACAATGGAGAAAAAAAAATTGAAAAATAAAATTTGTAAAAATGTTCTTCATCACAAGAGAGAAAAGCACCTGTCATGTAAAACTACTTTTGATAGATGCATATAAGATATAACATATAATATAACAGATAAGGACAAAAACCAGTATACCACTAGGTCATTTAGACTTGATCACCTTTTAATAATCATGGATCCTTGGAAATGTATACACACTGCTTTCTTTTGGATTTTGCAATTATGTTCCATAACCCTGAATTTCGCAAGAAAATCTTCCAATGACGAGCAGTTGCAAATTATTCAGAAGCTTGGTGAAGAACTCGAAGGTCTCAAAGGCATTGTTTTTGATTTGACGTTTTCCAAAGATATGTACGAAAATGAGATTAGAAAACTAAAATTAACAATTGAAGATCTTCAAAAATCCAACCACCTGTTGATTGAAAAGGTCAGTGCTCTGGAGACAGAAATACCAAGGAAAACCACTGAACTGCTCACAACCAAAGCTGGATGTAGTACTACTAGCATGGAAGATCAGGAGCGCCAAGATGAGAAAACAATCCAAGAAAGTGATGTTAAAGAACATACAGTCCATTGTCAGGAAGAAGGGGCCAAACTAAGACGACTACTTATAGGTATATTTGAATTTAAAATAAATTTTATAAAATTTGCCCATTGTTTCGGGTTTCTTTCTTATATTTTTAAAAACCATTTTGATATCACTGCTAGCAGTTTTACTATTTCAACAGCAGAAAACGTGTTTTTACGAATTTATCATTTTAATCAAAATCACGATTTAGAAAGGTTGGATCTTCAACATATTAGATGGATATATATTTGGAAAATACGTGTGAACATAATTATTGACTTTCTACATGTTCGTATGGGTATGTACATGTAATTTATTGTCCATTTGTATTTGTGTATGTTAATTTCTGTGGGGCTACAATTTAGTTATTTTTCCCAATGACAGATACAAGTGCAAATCTACCAATACCCAAAGGGACGGCATTTTATGCGTACATGAACGCCTCTGAGTTACATCCGGGTCAGCATCAGACAATCATTTTTGATGTTGACGTCACAAATGCTAATCGAGCTTACAACAAACACAGTGGCCTTTTCACGGCTTCAGATGCCGGTATGTTTGTTTTCTCATGGACCATAGCATCTTTCAGTGCCAACTACGACATCTACACAGAAATGGTGGTTAACTCAAATCCCATAGGAAGCATCATTACAAGTGGAGAGCCTTGCTGCTATTTCACCTCCACTGGAATCAATGTTGTGTACCTGAATCAAGGGGACGTGGTATACATCAGAACTCATCCGAAATTTGGGATCGGAAATCGTATTTTAAGCCTTCCAGGAGTACGAAGTACGTTTTCAGGATGGCAAATTGCCTAAATTCATCTTTGGCCAAAGTTTTGAAAATATATAACGTTACAAACATTTCGACAGCTGGTCAGTAAATATTTGTTGACTAAAGAAATAAAACATCAAAGCATGTTTTTTCGAAAAGTTTTATATGATTGAATAATTCCTTGCTAACTAATTGGCTGAGATCCAATATTGTTGAAGTCATAGTTATGTTCACGAGACCGTGCAGATAAACAAATCATTTCTCCCCTACATTTGAATAAAAATAGATCGAAAATTTCCAGACTGATAAATTAGGTATAAAAAGTTATGTTCACCTGCACAAGAGATCTCAGCTTAACAAAACGTTTACTTTCAAAAAATAGATCAAGAACTTTTGTTATTTCAGCTCTCCTGACTTCCTGGTGAACATAATATTTATTTTTTCTAAGTCGCACCTAAAATCAATGTAGATTAAGAAGTTCCAAATTATTAAAATTATATCTATTTTAATTTCGCTTCTCTTACTGCGTTCCGCTAAGACTTCAACAAGTTATAACACAATCGAAGAAGATGAGAAGGTTTGCTCTAGGTGTTTACGTCACTGAATCATATTGCTGTTTTTAAAGATATTTAGCCACCTCCGATGTACAATATTCATCCGAAGGGCGAGGTGAATATTGTACTCCTCAGGTGGCTAAATCATCTGGTTCACCTCAAAATAGCAATAGTTGTATAATAAGCAATTGCCGCCAAACAAACAAAGTTGTTCATTTGCTTTTTATCCATCTTGTGCTTATCTCCCCCAATACAAAGTCCATGGGACAAGGTTTGCATAATCGATGGGTTCTTGGCCTGTCCACAAGCACCTGTTCTAAATACAGATTTTGATTACCACAATGAGTCAGACAAGAGCCATATAAGTGCCAGTGTATGAAGTTTGTTTTGATTAAGTTGTTGTTGATGTGGTCCCTGAGTACTAGTGTCCAAGCCTCTAAAACACGTAAACCATATGAGTGAACAAGAGAAAGAAATTTCACTACAGATAAAATTAATATTTACACACGGTCTGATTTCCTCTTGACTACTGATGACTAAACATACATTTTTAAATCATTTAATATAAAATGAACGAACTTTTTCACAAGATGAAGTGTAATTCAGCAAAAAAATATCATTGTTCTCTCAGCTAATGATTCAATCATATCACAATATGAGCATTATCAGACACCCACAGTCGATTAGCTTTGTTCCTTTCTCTTTGCTTTTGGTCTTCTCGGAGTGACTGATCAATTAAATGCCTCATTAATTATCATGAAAACTAGCACAACGGTGTTTTAAAATCGGACCTACAGGTGAAAGAAAACAAGCCTAATCAACCGTGGATTTTCGACTATGCAATATGAAGGGAAACCGTTTCCTTTATTTCTAACAAAATGAAAATAAATATATATGGCTTTTAAATATCACGGAGAATTAACAGCAAATACATGTGTAAATATATTTAGATTTAGTACAGTATAGCAAAACATTCGTGTCTGGGTGTAACTTATCTAGAACACAACAATTAATTTTAAGATAATACAAGCATTACTCTCTATGTGTTACATTCATACCACTGCAGGTACACAAAAGACGCTAAAATGTACAGTATATTCACTACTTCAGATGGAATTTGTATTATAGCATCCTAAGCAACATACAAACTCACACAATTTATATATTATAAATGTTAACACTGACAGAGGAAGTTCAGGATTTGCATTAATCAGTCAACTCACTAGATATTAAATATACAGTTTATATTGCATCCCATTATAAGAATATTCTAACGCACAGTAAAAAATTCAACAAGAAAGAAACTAAAACATGAAATTATAATTAGTCTCATTGACTTAATTTGGAATTGGATTTCACATTCTTGGCACATAATATTCATGTATTTATATACATGTAACAATAAGTTTATTTTTTATCCTTATCATCATCATCATCATCATCATCTCTCTCTCTCTCTCTCTCTCTGTGTAAGATTGCCTCTTAATCTTAAATCAACAATATTGTAAAAAAAAAAAACCCAAAAAAAACAAGATGTGTTTGTGAAACACTGATGCCCCCATATGGCAGCTTATGGCAAAGGTTAAAGTTTCTCAAATGCAAGTCTAAATCCAGGCCAAAAGATAAAAATGTTGGTACCGAAAGAAAGGTCTTGTCTCGAGGAATATACCTGTGAAATTTGAAAGCCCTAGCTGCAACTGTTCAAAAGTTATGGCCAAGGTTAAAGTTTTTTTAAAGTAAGTAAAATGTCAAGGTCAAAGTTGTTGGTCTCCAAAGGAAGGTCTTGTCACAAGGATTACATATATGAAGTATGAAAGCCCTAGCACCAACCATTCAAAAGTTATGGCCAAGGTTAAAGTTTTTCAAAAGTAGGTCAAACTCCAAGGTCAAGGTCAAAGTTGTTGGTATCCAAAGGAAGGCCTTGTCACAAAGAATACACATGTGAAGTCAGAAACCCCAAGCACTAACTGTTCAGAAGTTACGGCCAAAGTTAAAGTCTCATAAAATTTTGCAAAAGTAGGTCAAACACCAAGGTCAAGGTCAAAAGTCAAATATGATGGTACCCAAAGAAAGGTCTTGTCACAAGGAATACACATGTGAAATATGAAAGTCATAGCTCCAACCAATCAAAAGTTATGGGCAAGGTTAAAGTTGACAACAGACAGACAGACAAAGAGATAAACAGACAAAGACAGACAGGACAAAAACAATATACCCCGGGGGAATAAAAATCCACACAAACACACACAAAATTACACACTTCCACAATTTCTTCCCACTGGTGTAATACTAAATAACAATACAGGAATACTGATTTCGATAAAATCTCATACAAAACTGATTTTGTTTTCAAAAACAAGAAATCAAACAAAGAATTGCTAGAATATAATCAAACTAAGAAAATACCATGGATTTAATAATTATTAAAATACACAGGAGTGCTATGTCTCTCTTATAATTTATGTTATGTTAATTTTCATACAATTAGAAAGTAAAAAAAAAAAAGGCAATGTATCGTCATTCACTTGTTGAATGTATCAGTGTGTGTGTTGAAGAGAATGGGGAGGAGAGGGGCTAAATGAGCCATTGGTTGGTTTACATTGGAACCTAACCAATAATCTGTACACTTTACATTCCAAACAAAATTTCTGGGAAACAGAATTTAAATTTGTATATACCAACTATAAAAATTATGTTTCAGAAATCCAGACACTTAATCATTTTGGAAGATTTGCTCAGGAACATAGGTGTCTAGATTAACAAGGTTTGACTGTAGATGCTACATGAATTGAAAAATTTAGGTGATATGTTCTGTAACTGTGTATATTTCAATAATGTACTATATAAAGCAAACAGTGTAGCAAGTTATAGTGATGTTAAAATTACTAAATTTAAAACAATGTAAAACCTCAAATTTCAGAAGAAAAAAATTCAAATGCATCAAACAAGTTCATAATTCCTAGCTATAATCATCCAAACAAAGCTACCTATGAATATTCATGGTCTTTAAATAATAAATATTCATCAAATCTTTATTTAGCAGCATGCCTTTGTAATTCAAATATCTCAACATGCATTTCAAAATTTTGTGATAATTTTCTTGAGAAAGGAAAATAACTTTTCAACAACCCTGAACAGTATTTTTAACATACATTACGTCATTGAAAATTAACAACTTTTTCATAAGGTACAGAAATTTTAGGAGAACACATATAACAAGAAAATTGGAGTGCACTCTTAGTTTTTTTTTCTTCCAATAATACTGGCATATGAATCTGAAGATTTCCATTGGTAGTATAATTAATCCATGTATACTTTCAAACAAACTCTCAAAACTTTTACGTACATATAAAAATATCAGATTTCAATCAATTAGACAAACATGATTCCATCAGAGATCTGATTATATGTGTTAATGTTTTTGATTATAAACAAAACTTATGAATGGATTTCAGCACCAGGCAAACATATAACAATTATTCAACAATTAAATCTACAAATAACTATGAACTTTTCTGCTTACTAGGCCAAGCTTTGTACAGCAGAATTATAGAAGATATCATTCCAAACATTCCATTCTGGAACCGCGATAACTTTCCAGACCACAGGACCAGGCCTGGTGGAAGCCAGCTGATAGCATTGGTGAAGTCGGCCATGTCTTGGATCAGGGTTAGATAACTCTCCTGAATCTCACTCACTACAGTTGTCTTTCTTTCTGATCTTACCTGGTCTTCACTACAAGAAATAGACACAAGATTACAATATAATGAAACTAACTCTAGATTACAATATAATGTACATAACTCAAGATTACAATATAATGTGACTTTAATGTAACACATTGAGTTTAGTAATAGCGAGCACAGCAAGTGGCGCAAATCACTGCTCGTCATTTCGAACTCTTAAAGCAACACCTGGGTGAAGAGAAAATTTGGACAATGAAATTTGGAAAATGAAATTTTTTCCACAGTTACCTATGGACCAACAATCCTTTGCAAAATGCATCTCGCCACAATCTACAATCTACATTGTAACAACTGTTACAAAAGTTCTACAAAAAAATTAGCTCACCTTGATTTTAATTACTGAATATTGCAGATCAGGGATTAAACGTTCTTTATTAATTTTAGCACTGTTCAGACTGTTTTGCTAATATGCAACTTAACATCATGTGACTTCAGAGCCTAAACGTACCAAATGTCACGTGCAGTTTGGAGAACGGGCTCTAAATTAAAACTTAATAAGGTATCTGTACTCGCCTAAATGGTCACGCCGTCAACATATTATTTTTGACATTGAAATTCTAAAATAGTGTAAAACCTACTGAGTCTGCATAATGATTAATTAAAAAGTTCTGTCAATGTACAGTAATTAGCTTGCCACCGTTAATAGTGATATGATGTTAATAATTCTTATGAGAGATTGAGCCATCATTAATAAATTTTTTGTTTGATGTACTCCAACCAACATTTTTTTAAGGTGTGTAGGTAGGTAGGTATCTACATTTTTTGAATGATCTTATAACACAATGATAATTGTCATTAAAATCACAAACTTAGAAATTTAGTACTGATGCTTTCATTACAATGTAAACACAGGACAGCTAGACAGATTCAATATTTATTGCTGTAAACTCTTAAAATGAATGATAAACCTAAACTTTAAAAACAATAAAGACAATCTGTATTTCAGTTGAAACAAAAAAGAAATAAAATAAAAAATGTAAGGTACTGAAAAAATGACTGGGTAGGGATGATTTTGATAGGTTGGTCGGAGTACATCAAACAAAATTTTTATTGTTGGCCTAGAGTGCATCAAATATTTTTATTATTAAAAATAATAGGCTTAGACCTGTAGACATACATTACTTATTTAAAACAACAATGCTTTATTCCTTCTTGCTTTAATGAAATGAAAAAAAAACCTAACCTAAATTCTTCTTTGCAAGATACCTGCAATAAACTCACCTTTCCTCTGATGACTGTAACAGCTTTTGTTTCTTAAGTTCTTTGAGTTCTTTCTTTAAAGATACTATTTTTGCTACCATTCTATAGAATAAGAAAGAAAAGGTTCAAAAGCTTTGCCAATTTTTTAACACTTTCTTCACTAGTAATTGCCCCTTTTGAGAACTTTTGTTTTTTTTTTCAGTTTTAAGTACTCAGTGAAACAAATAAGAGCAATGTCATTTTATTGTCTCTAGGTGTTGGTATGTCTGCCTAGTGATTTAGCGGTTCCAGCAACCCTCTCCAAAACCCCTTCTCAATTAAGTGGGAGGTCCTGGGTTTGTGCCAGAATTTTTTCTCGACCTGAGATACACATCTATTTTGCACCAAAGTAAAAACATGAGGTCCATGGGCCACGACACTCACCTGAGTCACTATTGCCCTTCAGTCCTTCATCAGCAGATTTTTTCCCCTATACATTTGTATTTAAAACTTAGATTACATATTGTGGACCGGCCCTACCTCAGGAATCATAATTTGACAAACTTGAATCTACACTACCTGAGGATGCTTCCAGATATATATGAATAATCATGTCTTTGCTGCTCTTGATTGATTGATTGTATGTTGTTTAACATCCCATTCAAGAATTTTTCACTGATATAGAGACCTCACCATGGTACGCTGAAGGACTTAAAAATTTAGAACTATACTCAGCACAAGGGCAATCAAGCAGCAATTGATCTTTATCATGCCAACACCTACTGTGACACGGGACCTCAGTTTTTAAGGTCTCATCCAAAAGACACATGAATTTCACTTCTAGTGCCAGGCACATAATGGAGGAACAGTCACTACCTATGTTTACATCACAGATTTGACGAAGCGAACAAGAATCGAACCTGGGCCTTCCAATCATGTAGAGAGTGCCCTATCGCTAAGCTACCAGTTACCGGGCTGTTTGTTGTTCTTGATAAGAAGATTTTCCAAGATTTTTTCCTAGAACATATTATTATTTAAAACTTAGATTACATATTGCAGCCCCTCCCTGGCTCAGGGGGTCATGACTTGAACAAATTTGTATCTACACTGCTTGATTGATTGATTGTTTGTTGTTGTTGGAGAGCTACAAATTTTGACCTATACTCGACACTCAGGGCCATTGAGCAGTGAGGGATCTTTTTCGTGCCAGCACCTACTGCAAAACAGGACCTTGGTTTATAAGGTCTCATCCTAAGAATGGGTCTCCACCTCCCGCAGTGGGATTCGAATATAGGATCAACTCCTTATACTCTAACCACTGCGCCACGAGGGTGACTACACTGCTTGAGGATCCCCATTGCGACCCAACCTACCCCAGGGGTCAAGATTTGAAACAAAAACTTGAATCTACACTGCCTGAAGATGCTTCCATATCAATATGACTTTTTTCATGGCTTTGCTGTTCCTGGGATGATTTTTAAGTTTTTCCTATACACAGTTGAACTTCGGTATCTTGAAACCAATATCTCAAATACCATGGATATGTTGAAGTGATCTTTAAGTCCCAAAAGCTTATTTCTTAAGTATTTTATCCTGGATATCTCGAATCCTCCAATATTTCGAAGTATTTTCTTGGTCCCATTGAGTTTGAGATAACAAGGTTTGACTGTATTCCTATGTAAATTTTAGATCCCCTATTGTGCCCTCAGCCCGGGGGTCATGATTTGACCAAACTTGAATCTACACTGCTTGTGAATGCTACCACATTAATATGACTGACCAAGGCTTTGCTGTTTTCGAGAAGAAGATTTTTAAAGATTTTTCCTATATATCCCCATGTATAACTTTGATCATCTATAGTAGCCCCACCCTACTCACAGGGTCATGACCTAAATCTACACTATGTCCAGTCTAATTAAAATGACATGTTACATGTAGATCCACTTAGCTAGTAATTTTAAATAAATTGCACTATGTCACGAAGCTTTCATATAAGTTTCATTTTTTCTGGTCCAGTGGTTTTAGAGAAGATTTTTAAGTGACCCAACCTAATTTTTTTCTATTCTTTAATTATCTCTCCAAAGAAGAGGGTGTGGCCCTTCATTTAAAAAACTTGAATCCTCTTCAACCAAGGATATTTTGTGCCAAGTTTGGTTGAAATTGGCCCAGTGGTTCTGGAGAAGAAGATGAAATTGTGAAAATTTTACATCAAAGATGACGACAACAACAAAGACAATGGACAAATTTCGATCAGAAAACTCACTTGATCTGAGGGCTGAGGTGACCTTAAGACACAAATGGTTTGATGGAGCCTCAGTGAGGCCTTCAAGGGAAAACACAAAATAGAATAGTGTAAAAGGGACAAGTTTTATTGGTCATACAGCAAATAAATATTGTCAATGACAAGCCTTGTACTTGAAACCAGGGCATTTTCAAGGTTTATAGCTAAGCAAAATGTCCTAATTTCTATCTCAAGTCCTTGTCAACATTTACAGGCAGTTTGTCATTGGCTAAATCTTTAAATTGTTTTCAAATTCTATGCAATGCCAATGTTTTATTTCTGGTGGACATCAGCACATTAATAACTATATTTGGTATAAGACTTAAGAGCACAGATATGTGGTAGTTTATTTTTAGCAGCTATTGTGAAATTTTTTTCTTGAGTGATGATGAAGGGAGGATAAATACTATAAAAGCAATTATAACACAATTACATTATAACTGTTTCTTCAGTTGATGGGATAATTAAGCAACCCTCAAAAGTATAATTAACTCACCTCGCCTATTGCAACCCTATCTAACATACATGTACTGTACATAAAAAAGAAAATTACTTGATGATGTCTGCAAAAAGAGCTACTGCCCAGGCCACAAGACTGCCAACCACCCATTTCCATGGCGTAAAGGATGTGAGTACTTTTTTATCAGCTAGCCAATAAATGTGTTCTACAGGAAAGAAGATCTGGTAGGTGATGTTAGTGATCAGACTCATCAGGCGGACAACCGGGTTCTTTTCCTGTAAAAAATTGTCGTTCATTCATAAATCAAATTAAAAAGGGGAAAATGTGTGTATGATAATAATTATATCTTGGTAATTTTATCAATTATACTTCAACACCAAGGTGGATTAATATTAAACAGTATCCATTGAACATGTTGAAGGCAATTATATCTTCAACACATTTTCATACTAAATGCTAATTAACAAGATATGATATATATATTATTCTTTTTTGGAGACTTTATCAGGTTCCAGCACAATACCCTGATAAAGGAACATAGCTTGATAAAGCTATATAGGTTTATCAAGGTATTACAAATACCTTGATCAAGGTATTTTATGAAATGAAAATACAAAATAAAATTCTAAAAAAATAAATACTGAAAGTCGAGTTTTGAGTTGTTGTCAGTAAATTCACTCATGCATGTTAAGTACTCAAACACAAAGAAATCAGTAAAAAATCATGTCATGTGAGGAGACGTTCTTTTATGCTGTCTTTTTGATACCTGAGTACTTTTCGTGCACGAGTGAACACACTGACCACAACTCATAATTCGACTTTTAAATTTAATTTTTTTAGATTTTTTTTTTGTATTTTCATTACATAAAATACCTTGATCAAGGTATTTGTAATACCTTGATAAAGCTATATAGCTTTATCAAGCTATATACCTTTATCAGGGTATTGTGTTGGACCTGTTTATGTTCAATCAAAAAGCTACATTTGAATAATTTGTTAGTAAGAAAATATCCCTGTACTTGTTATTTTAATATCTAATCAATACAGTAATTCTCCAATCTTATTTTACAACTTCGTGCAGGTTATCTTGACTTTCTGGATTACTGTAGGCCTACATGTACTCCTTCACCCGACTCAACGATAAAACTTCTTGAAAATCCTTCCTAATCCCCCCCCCCCCCCCTTTCAAATCTTCTTTCTCTTGCACATTAAATGAAATCACATCACAAATAATTTTGGCAGTTTTGTACAATCATTTACAAGAGGTAAAATTCATCAATATGAGCATATTTAAACCGAAAGTAGGCAACAGAAAATCATACGGTCAGTAATTAGATCGTCCTACCTGTGCACCTGTCCCGTACCTCAAGGTAGAAAACAACATTGAAAGATCGTCAAACAACCGCATGGTGGTTCTGGCACCTCCTAATTCCGCGGAAATGGTCAGTAATTTCTTGTGGAAATTCCCTTGCCCACTGCCACCGACGCACATGGCGGCGTAGGTACAAAGACGGATGATTTTATCCCTCCCTCGATAGCTCTCTAACATGCGGACCAACTCCATGTTTACAAATAAGGGCCTACTCGATTTACACAGCTTGTGTGTTATCTGTAATGCGGTGCGTTTGATTTAAAGGTTGCGTAATGTAGTAGTGTTTGCGCTTGTTCTGTAAAGATATTTTTCTCTAATCAAATGTCAATATATATGACCTCATCAGAAGACTATATTATATGTATTTTGTTTTTAGATTATTAAAATCATTTTGACATTAAAGCGAACAAAAGTGTTATTCTTATACTCCAATCTAATTAAAATTAGATCTTTGATACGCTCCAACTAGATCGCTACACAAAGTAGCGATCTAATTGGAGCGGATCAAAGATCTAATTTTAAATAGATTGTCTTATACTCTAGTCTCTAAGTTGTTTTTTTTTAATTCTTTGCACAATTTTGAATTGTGTTTCTTTTGCTCTCTACCATAATTAAATGTGACATGTATTGAGTATAGATCTATGTTTAACATTATGGAATGCCATAGCTGCCTGAAGGTCATTTTCATATTATATGAGGTGGAATAACCTTTATGTGAAGTGGTGAAGTCATTATATATAGTGGTAAAATCATTATATTCAATGAAAACTTTATTATATGCAGTGGTTTTATCATTATATACAGTGACAATGTCATTATATGTAGTGGTTAAATAATGTAATGAAGTGATAATATCGATACATTATGTTGTAAAATCATTATATGCAGTGGTTTTTCCATTTTATACATTACTGATAATTTTCTGTGATGTGATGAATTCAATATATACAGTACAAACATAATTTGTGTGATAAAGCAATCATTACATTGTATGAAACCCGCTGCATGTGGAGTGCCAAGTTAATTTCATTCAGTGCGACACCTTTACATGAAGTGAAAAATCTATTATGTGCAGTACTAAGATCATTATATTATATAGTAAAATTATTATATATATTCCTTAAATCATGCTTTGCAGTAGTAACATCTTTATATGAGGTGGTTAATTAATTATATGATGTTGTTAATTTGTTATATGATGTGCTCAAATCTTTATATGCATTAGACGTTTCATGTTATGCAGTGGTAACTTCTTTATCATCATCTAAACTGGTCCTTTTATTTAAAAAAATGCGCGGAGTTCCAGTTTAAAGAGTGTTTGAAAATAGGAAACCTGGGCCGTGGCAAATTAAAAGCCGGGACTATTCGAGATTTTTCTAATTTCTGATTCTACTATACAGCTTCCTGATTTTATCAACTGTGCTGAAATTTTAAGACTCATTTTTATAGGTTAATGTGTATTCGCTGTAAAAATTGCATTTAATTTTAAAATACTTAGTAATTTAGATTTTCTTGGCGATTGTTGATTTCCAAGTTCAGTGGTGGATCCAGGAATCTTGAAAAGGGGGGCACGACAAGTTTTTGGTCGGGGTAGGTAGCCCACAGCCAAACCAAAAAACAATTGATTTATTAAATCTTATGTATATTTTGGACACAAGGGGGAGGGGGGGGCGGGCCCCATAGGCCCTCTCTGAATCCGGCCGTGAGGTTGGTAAATCGGGTAGGCAATCAAGTAGACATTTAACGTGTTTTGTTTGTTTGTTTGTTTGTTGTTTTTTTTGCAATCTAATTAAAATTAGACTTGTAATTTTCGCTCCTCTACGATACGCTTCAATACAATGAAGCGTATCGTAGAGGAGCGAAAATTACAAGTCTAATTTTAATTAGATTGGTTTTTTTGTTTGTGTAGCGGGTATTCCCGGCAATGATGGAAAACACACTTGTAGCTTTTTAAATTTTACAATTTATTATGGTGACATGTCTAGTTGATGATAAATGGATAATGGAAAATGGACTAATGGAATATATGGAATAATGGAAAATGGATATGTCCTGCAATATACAAATTGCGTCATAAAAATATGTACAAACAATATATCAATTATCTAATATTCTGATCATAAAAATATAACAAATTATCTGTCTTCCCTTTAACAATTATTTATCATATTTATCAATTTCACTCGATATGATAAAATAGAGAAATTCTATATAAGGGAGTTAACTCTTACAACATAATTACTCTTAACAGTCTTGTGAAGAGTTATCTTTCTTTTATGTTTCTGTACAAATCATAAAAAATATATATACAGATAGACATACCAATTTATGGAATTGAACTTTCTCCAAAGCAATAATTTAATTCTTTACTTATGGTGTTACCTATGTACAATAAATAAAATAATCAGGATTTGTTCTTTACAAATACCTTTCTCATAATCAATAGATATTCAAATTAGTTTGACTATCAAAATATTCACATCAAAATATTTCTAGGTATATATACAAATTAATTAATGAGAAAACTCCATCAGATTTATCTACATCTGATTATACAGACAGATAATTCAGTATGTTAACATTTAAAAGTGAAATATTATGTTTTCCACCTATTTCACATAAATTATGGAAAACATATCTTAAGGCATAAAAAGATAAAAACTTACATTTTCAGGAACTGTCTTAGGTCTTTGAATAAATAAAGTCAGCAGCTATATAACTATGTCTTCTCCATTCTAAATCTTGAG